CCCCGGGCCTGGCTCCAGGGCGGGGCCCCGGTAACCCTATCCCGGGCAGGGTAAACTGTTCCCTCGATATTCTCTTCATGGGGGTCTTCTGAATCGCTCTTTGTCTGAGACACCTAGAGCCTGTACAACACATCAACTTAAAGAAGATAAAATATAACAACGCATCTGCCTGTACAGGACTTGAATTGTTCTGTTACATTCACTTCTTGTATTTACTTTTTCTGATGAATATGAACAAACTGTGGTCATTCTTTACAGGCTTCTTTCAAACCCTCATAGGAACTGAAACTAAAACATTTGAAATGGTTACCAGCTCTTTATGTTGAGACAATCGTTCTCAGGCTCTGTCTCACACCAGATAAGAGGAAGCCTCAAAAACAGTGCTTTATCTATGTGCATATCTCTCTTAAAGTCTCTTTCACACATTATAAAGTCATCATTATGTCAGGCTTTGCTCAACATGCCAGCAAAACTGTAGAGCAAAATAGTCCCAAAGACTGTAATAAAGAAAACAAACAAACAAACAAACAAACAAACAAACAAACAAACAGTGCAGCTCAATTTCCTGTAAAGTTAAAAATGTCTTCATCAAAAATCCAGGATAGTTACAGGATAGAATATCAATAAGACTTCATATTCATGAACATGTAACAAACATTTTGCATTAAAAGTGAAACAATAAATTTCATCCTTTAACATATTTGAGGTTTTTTTTTTCTTTGTCTTTGCAGATCAACAAACAAGCACAATGAAATAAAAGTATTTTCTGCTGAACATGAAACACATTTGAACTGGTTCTCAAAAATCTGCCTTTTCAGGTTTTGTGACTTTTTAATTCACAAACTGGTCCTGTTCCTTTCTTGGTCCAAATTTATAAATACGTCATGAAACATTAAACAGCAGTGGGTTAAAATGTTGTCTGTGTAGGATCTCAGTCATTCAGGTCATGGTAGTCTTGAGAGCCAGACTTTATTCTTTCACTTCCATCCATCCCCTTCTGCTGGGGGCTGGAGCCTATCCATAACATAGTGAAAGAGGCAGGGAACAGTCCGGACTTGTTACCAATCTGACCGACACATTTTTTTACTTTAATAACTTATTTTTGTTTTTACTTTAACAGTCTTTCACATTGATGTGAAGGAATATTGGTCCACTCTGCTTTACAACATTATTTGAGCTCATTGGGGATCGAGGGCATTTGTTTATGTATCTATTTTGGGGCGGAATCAAAGTTAACTCACCCAGCCAATTTATCCAGCAATTTAATTATGACACTAATTGATTAGAAAAAAATGCAACCAAAAATAATATTTTCATTACAGTATCAATACCAGTTCAGAGCTAGTTTGCAACATTATGCTAACAAGTTAGCATTTTAGACGTAAAGAGAAAGAATGTTGAATTAACGTGTTTGGAAGAATTCCACAACAGAACGGTGGCAGACGTAAGAAAATAGTTCAAAAAAGTTTATTGTGGAGCACAGATGTGTGTTATAAATAAAGTTAACATTTAGAAAATCCCACAGGTAGTTCAAAAAGGCTGGTGAGTTTGAAGACTGGCTATAAAGACTCTGGTATTTATTTTAGGCAAATGATACCTAAAAAAATACTCACCAGCATGAAAATTCTGTTATGCTTCTATTACTTGTTGTTAGTTCAGCCCTTATGTCATTTTCAGAGGAATGCTTTGTATTGTTGGTTAAAAAGATGTGACTCGTGTGAGTGTGTCTGCAGACAGACTGCATTCAGCATTAAAAGCAACACTTCCTCATATGTCTTTCCCACAAAGCAGAGCCCTCTAGCGGAGAATCGATGCACTGACATCATATTGAATGTTCCTTAGAATTTGTTTTCTTCTTTGCTGCATTTTTTCTTTTTGTTGTTTAGTTTTTACAAAGTACACATAGGAAATTATTAAATGTAATGTATGTAAACGTTATTATATTTTCATCAATACCTGTCAGTGTAATAGTGAGAACAGAGACGTGTGGTTTAGTTGTTATTTTGTGGTTTAGAAAAAAAACCCAACACTTGACAGAAGTTAAACCTGCAGACGTGATGACTTTGATGTTTTATGTTCTTTCAGAAACAGAGTTAATAATTTTACAGTCAAAGCTGCAGAGCACCCAGAAAGTAAAACAAACCAAAGCTCACAGAGTAATATCACTAGCATGTCTCCTATTTTCATTAGACCTCTTTAAAGTGAAGCTGAAGTATTTCTATATTTCTGTTAATTACTTTCCTGTGTCGTCTGTTTTAGTACAAAGTGTGAAACCCACTGACAGACACACCAGCTGTGGTGTCTCTGCTGTGACACTGAAGTTATTTCAGACACAAACTCTCCGCAAAATGTTCCTTTAAATCACCATGGTAACAAACTCTTCTTTAGTGAGCAGGCAGTGTCTCCATGGTGGAGTAGAGATCAGCTGTGTGGTTCTCACTGAAGTGCAGTCTCCTGTAGTGCTGATCATCCTGCTCTGCTGACTGAGCTGAGATACTTGCAGGATTCATCTGAGGAGACGAGGCAGTAATTATACATTTATATTAAACTAAATCTTTAGCTCACTCTCCTTTCAGAGCATTATAAAACATCACTTTGTAGAGCTCAACTGATAAATGTCTGTGTTAAACATGTGGTAAACAAGCCTTTTAGTGGTCGTTTCAGAGAATTATTTCCTAGTTTATTAACATAAATTATACTACATGGCTTTTTGATGTAGTTCAAATCAGAGTGAAATCTGTGTACAGTCAGGGCTAAACTTCACGTCTGTTCAATGTCCAAAAATAATATGTAAGCCTGATATCAGCCTAATGATTGTCGATGTATGGCATTTGTAGTATCTCAAAATATAATAGTAGTGTGTCCCTGTCACATGATGTTCGTGGTGTAACTGTATATAATCAAATAAAAACTCTATAAGAAAGAAAATCATCAGGTAGAGTTTGTGAGAAAACTGAAAAAGCTGAAGACTTTTTTCAGGTGAAGACAAACACGACAGATGAGGAGATGTTTTTGTTTGAATCCAGTTCTGTACCTGCTCTTTGTTGTCTGATGTTCTTCTTGGAGACTGTCTGGAAGTCCTCTTTGATCTAGTTCATAAAAAAATGACTGACTATGTGAAATATAAGACATATTGATCCACTGAATCTGGAAAGGAGCTCACAGCCCTCTATATTCAAAACACAAAGTAATGAACTCTATAATCCACTTTGATTTCATTCAGATTATTATAAAGCCCAGTCTGTAATAATCTACAGTTTTGTAACAATATAGCCCTCATTTACAGTGTAATTAATGTTTCAGACATACTCAGGAGTGTAGTGGATATGATGTTGTTCTCGGGGCTGAGATGGAGGAATCGTGGAGTAGAGAGAATCTGTTTCATTCTTGTAGACGTGGAGTCTTTGGTAGTTCAGGTCCTGCTCTCCTTGATGAGCTGCGATGTCGTCATACTGGGGACCAAAGTTTAAATGATAACAAAGAAACAGAGAAGTTACATTTTCAGTGATGATGATGATTATTGTTATTATTACAATAATGAATACATTATCGCAGATCCTTCAACTAAGAGCTCAGCTGGATGGTAGAATTAGCCCAAAGTAGTAGATTCAAACTTATATTCATAGATATTCAATATGAGTTAAACTATGTGAGTGAGTCTGTTTAAATAATTTGCTCTGACATTTTAAAAAACTATCATGAAGCTTTTAAAAAGCTGACTGGTCTATTATTTGTTGCTGTAGAGTACAGGACCTTAAAACATGTGGTACATAACATTTCTGTGTTAGCAGAAGAAAAACTAAAAGAAGAAAAACTAAGAAAGAACAATGATCTGATTTAAAAAATGAATAAGAAACGTATCATCTCTTAAAAAATGACTCGTATGAAAAAGTATAGAATGACACTGATGATTTGTGTTGTACTAAAACTGTACTTTATTTTTATCACCTCCAAATCATCCAAATTTTCATTTCTTGAAGGTTGGTGAGAATTCCTCTTTCTTCTGGTTTATGAAAATAGTGAATACAAACATGAACAGGTGGTGTCTGGTTAGTGTGTAAATTCTAGATGAAACCTAAGAGATCTGACAGAGGAAACAGTGTTTATCCTCACCTAACACACCAGCAGACAGAGAGAAGTATTAAAACCAGCAGAGCTGCAGAAACTCCTGCAGCTGATGGTGTCCATGTTCCTGTGATACTTTGGACAGTGAGAGTCTTTGGAGCAGAGCTGATATCTTTGTTGCTTTTCACAGCACAGGAGTAGCTTCCTGCATCCTCCCTGCTGACTGGGTCTAAGATCAGATGTTTGTTCTGGTTCTCTCTCGGGGTCAGAGGTCGACTGTTCAAGTACCAAATGTAGTTTGTGTTGTCAGTCAGAGGACAGCTGGTACTGCAGGTCAGTGTGACTCTCTGACCCTCTGTCACCACTGCAGAAGGACTCATCTTCACTCTCAGCTCTGAAAGATACTTAAACTTGTCAGTAACTGTGAGAGATATTTTATGTTAAGTGTTTCTTATAAACAGCAGGTTGGTGTTTAGCGTCAATGTTACAAAGTGACTCAGAGAATATTTTTCTTTTACAAATATTAGAACTGTATTAAATTTAAGAAAAAAACATAATTTAGTAAAGATTTTTACCCAAAATGAACCTACTGACAGTAAATGTTCAAACGGCAAGAAATGTAAAAATATTACTTTACTGTACGTGTGACAGCTTTTACATTACTGGAGAACAGTAGTCTCTGCTCCTCATTGATGCTCTCTCTCCTTCAAAGCAACACAAGACTACATTTAAAGTCTAAAGTTGTGGACATTTTCTTTTTAACTCTTTCAGTAACAGTAAAG